ATAACTTTATACTTAGGTACCCAAGCATCCACTGTCCACGGGTTTTCTAATTAACTATTCCAATGTCTTGTCAAAAGTACCGATTTTATAAACTATGAAAATAGAGTTGTAGTGAATTAAAATGAAACCATAACCATAAGATGAAATGCTTTCAGACTGGCAAATTTGATACTTAGCTCTGGTATTAACAGCACCACCTAAGATATGCTCATAGTCAATACGCACCTACAAATGACATGAAAAATAGAATATTATCCTGAACGTAATTGCGTTCTTAGTGTAAGCAGATTTGAGTAATGAGAATTTTATGACTTGAAAGTTTCAAAAGAAAAATTAACAAGTAAATTTTCAAATAGTAAAAAACGTTAAAAACAAGCTTTACACCACTTAAATAAAATCAATGCGTACAAATATTTTCTATTTTCTCTTCTAGATACTTACTAATAACTAGTTTTTATGTTCCCCTCTTGTTACCTGAGAAATTGTGTTCATACTCATCTCATGTTTAAAGAACTTCGGTCTTACCGCGGGTCCCATGACCCATTTATACCCCCTGGTTTGTTTTTTCATTTTTTTTTCATTTTTTATTTTTTTTATTTTTTTTTTTATACTCAATAATGCTCAAATTTTTATCAGAAAAAAAGTCTTGAAGAACGCAATTTTTTCCATTGCAATACAACCATTACTCACTTGTTAGTCCACGTCACAACATACTATCAGTTTTTACCGTGTTTTTAACTTTTTTACACGATATTTTGAAACATAGCCATAAACTTGGTAATAATAATTATTTTTACGACTAAATGCACCATTTTGACATTAAAAAAATTAATTGGTGATTTATAAAGCCAAAATATCTTTAGTGCATACGCCAACGTGTTTAGCTTCCCTTACAAATCCATGTTTACTTTATTTTATTTTTTTATTTACTTAAAAACTGTCCATTTTCGGGACTTGCGCTTGTAGAAACTTTTCTTCAGAAGATCATAATCTACAATATATGTTAACTTCAGCCAATTTCACCGGGAACCAAAAGCCCATTGAGTTTCTGCGGGGTCCTTTTTAAAATATCTTAATGTTTAAAGATAATGCTATCAAAACTGGTATAATAATGGTTACTTTCGTATAGGTTTGCAAGGAGTATCAGCAGTTTATTGAACAGTACTGCTGTGTGATCAAACGGAGAAAACCGAGACCCACGAGGCCCACAAATTTCAGGGAATTTCCCTTGAATAGTAGCCATTGCGACGAAAACAAAGCTACTTCACCTGAGCTGCCAGATCCATCAACGTCAGTCGTAAGCTCAGATCGCTTGCAGCTACAAGAAAGAAGTATAAGTTCGAATGGTCCATGGGTTTCTTTAACTTTCCACTCCATCACGACCACCAAAACCACGTACGTCACCAGAATCGGCCGCACCATTTCTCCATGAAGTAGCATGCGAAACGAACGCGATACTGGGAGCGCGTTTTCAAATTACCTTCTCTCTGCTTGATCATTCGTTCTCCGATTGCAAAGAAATGATTTTATTGGAAATGGATCGGGTAATCCGTTGTTTTCCACAATTACCAAATTTTCCACATCAATGGAACGAGCTGTAGTAATCAAGTGATCATTACATGCTCTGTTTGTCATAAATAATTAGCTTTTAACTATTATAATTATTAAAGAATCAAACAGAATTGCACAACAAAAAGATTGTTTCTTCAAACTGTTTCAAGCTCACTTAAAATTTTTATTTGATCTGGTATTCCTTGCCCTCAAAAAAATTTTTATTTATAACTAGCGAATAACTAACTCGACAAAGGACAACATTTCGAAACACCAATAAAACATTACAATGAATAAGTACATGACTTTTCGGAGTTTTCACTTATTTTAAGTTAGTCATTGATAATGTACTCTACTTGAAAAATAATTATTCTGGTTTCATCAAATTGTTAACTAAACAGCTCTAAGTTGGGTTAAATTTGAAACTTCAACTTTTCCTTAAAAAACATCCATTTACTGCAATCAACATAACTTTATTAACACTTGGTTTCACTGGTTAACGATTTGAGTCAACTGTCCGTTGTAGAGCTTATAGCTTAAAATTTTATTACATTAAATATGAATCTACTTTCCTTGATAACCATAGCATTAGTGTAGGAATATAAAATGAAAAATTGAATCATAATAGTGATCGTGTACAACAGTTTCATTGGCTGTGTACGATTCGTCACTTGTCACATTTCTACGGAGTCTTATGGAGGAGTCTGGCAAATTCGTATGGGTAGTTAATTTAACTAATGCTACGTAAAATAGTTGCAATAGCACTTTGATGAGTGACGGTAGCTTCCTCGATCCCCCGTTAACCTGAGCAGCGACCGCCGTTGAGGTAAGAGAACGCAGCCCGACACAAAGCTCTCGACCAGCGACAACGACAGCGTATGCTTCGCCAGTGACCATCAGAGAATCGAACACGTTACTAGCTACTGTTTTTCATTAATAAAATTGCAGTACCTTTTTACACCGCGACTTTTTATTTCACGATTTGATTCGCACTTCCGTCACCCTGGAGCGGTGAGGATCAGCTCACACGCTATTCAATCCTTGGATACATTGTTCCGACTTTTTGTTTAACTACTATTGAAAGTTTCTAAATTAAAAGAAGCCTGTTTTCATAACCACGAGACAGATCTATAGTGTAAAATGCGGAGCACTCGAAAATGGCAGGGCCGGTTCTCTCCGTTGCAGTGGGTGCCGTTGCTTCTCATCTTCGCGTTACCTCTACGTACCTCAGGTAAGTGTACACGCATCATACTGAACTTCTATTTATAAGTACTGTCAACATAAGTCAGCTTGAGATATAGTTTGGTGAAATTTGGTATAGCTGATACGTGCCGAAATTAGTTTGAATTTTGAAAGTCAACTTCTTTCAAAATGGTTAAAATACCCTGAAAATTCGAAAATTAATTTTTTTATCATTTAGCTTGCTTGTAACGAGAAATCAAAGTATTTACTTTACAGTAAATGGGCAGCAACTACTCCTGACACGGGTTTGCGCACAGTTACCCAAATAAAAGAGCATAAAGTAAGACTTTTACACATTAAATGTCAAAAAATAGTACATGCAACATATGCATACGGTAATTGTTATACTTATGTGATGTTAACCCTTGGTCGACACTCAGGCAATTTCAATTCAACTTATGCGAGAATCACTTGCTTTACAATACCAGCATAAAAAATTGCACAAAAACTTTTTTTCATCGTCTCAGATAAAACTTACCAATTTCAGAAGAAATACATACACTATAGCCATATTAATGATCAGCACGTCATGTAACTTAATGTGTTAGCTTATCAAAGAAACTGATGAGTAATATTCGTTAGCTTTTAAAACCCAATGACAAACGGCCGCCCTTTCAGGAGAATTTTTCATTTCAGAAATCTTACATGGAATAAAAGTGGTGAAAGTTTGTTTTCAGTAACCAGAAGTATTGACCACATAAATAGATTCGTTGACAAAGCTATCAATCTTATTATCTAAAATTAACAATAAACGGCTCAGGAATTTTTTCCACGTTCATATTCACTCAGGGCTTAGTTGAATAAAAATTCTTTACTAAAACTTGCCTTGTACCCCATAAATTTCTATATTACTATGAAGTTTTCTCCTGCAGTAGTTAAATAAATATTTTGGCGTATAAATCAAATTCGTATCGCAGACAGTTAATTTTGATTGCGTGTTAATTCCGATGACCTATGACAGCGTGTCCATACAATTTTTTTCTCATACCTCCGCCAAAAGTACGACTTTGTTCCCTGAGTAGGTACTGTTCATAGAAAAGGTATTTTGATATCCTCTGCGCGGTTGCCTCGCAGAGGATTCCAAAATTCATTCCATTTATTCCCCTGACATTACGGGAAAACATATTTTCGTCGAGGGAAGAGAAAAAATGGCCTCGAAAAGACAGTACGTCATCGTCTCGTGTGAGTTGCCTCCCAAATCGTAATTTCTCCCCTTGATTCATAATAAACTAGTATAACTCCCCCTGACAGTAAGTAAAAAAAATTTTTTTTTAAACCGAGTATGCATATTTATTTATTTATTTTTTTTTTCTTTGTATCGATGTGCAATTTGACTATTTTTCTTAGCCTTAACTGAGTCATTAAC